CGCGGAAACGCCCCCTCCATTACTCGACACAAGCTTCGAAGCCTCGATACAGAACGTCACATCACTACTGTTTAGTTTGTTTATGTATTCTCAGTTTAGTTAGTTTTCTGCTCAGTTGCCTTCCAGCAATAAAGCTGAATGTTTTGAGTTATGTTTGTGTCCGTGAGTGCTGCATTTTAGGTCCTCTCCCTGCCTGCCTGCACACAGCCATAACATCAATACAAGCTGTTAATGATGTTGTAAACCTTACAATATTAATTATAATTACAAATATTTAGATTTAAATTATTTTCAAATTTCTATGACAATTGTCAATGTATGAAATACATAAATAAATAAATATTCCCAAAAGTAGAGCACCTAAATCACAGAAGTCCCTCTAGAGCAGTGGTCCCCAAACTACGGCCCGCCTCCACATTTGACCACCGGCCCCCTGAACAATATTAGAGATGCATCATTATTTTTTCAGTCTGGCCACGCAATCGACACTAATGCACCCATAGAACACTGGGCCTGCCCGACTGAATCTCTGGAAATGTTTCCTCATGTTAATAAAGCTCATTTGATTTGAATTGTGAACCACGCTAAAAAAAAAAAGTTTGCTACTACGACCTCACTTTGCCCAGAATGTGAACGTGACCCCCCCTTTAGAACAGAATAATGGCAAAAAGGTTAGGTAAGAGAAAAACTGATTGGTATTTAACCTGCAGTGGACACACAATTATTTTTTTGTTCAATGCAAAGAAAAAGCTGTTTGTCTCATCAGTCAAGAGACGGTGGCGGGATTCAAAGAATACAATCTGCGCCGACATTATGAATGCCGTCACAAAGACAAGTATGATAGCTTGCAAGGCCAAATGCGAACAGACAAAATCTCAAAGCTAAAAAGTGGACTGTTAGCTCAGCAGACTGCATTTGTACGCCAAACTCAGCTGAACCAATCATCAGTTCGGGCCAGCTTTTGTGTTGCTCAACTGATAGCAAGCTACGGTAAACCTTTCAGTGAGGGAGAGTTTGTCAAGAAATGTTTGAATGTTGTCGTGGAGGAGGTGTGTCCCGATAAGAAAGATGTCTTTAATGCTGTGAGTCTATCGGCGAGCACAATCACCAGACTTTGGAGGGCTGCCAGCTCCTCGCACATCTCAAAGTCTGAAAGGCACTACGACGGGGGAGGATATTTTCGACAAAGTATGTCAAACAATGGAAGAGTTGGATCTGGACTGGGCAAAGCTTGCTAGCATCACGACTGACGGGGCTCCTTGTATGGTGGGCGCATCTCGGGGCATAATAGGACGCATGAACTGCGAGATGGAAGAACGGGGTCTCACCGCCCCTCTACAAGTCCACTGCATAATTCACCAGCAAGCGCTTTGCTGCAAAGTGTTGAAGTGGGATTCTGTCATGAAGGCTGTGGTATCATGCATAAACTTCATCAGAGCAAATGGACTTAAAAACAGGCAGTTCCAACAATTCCTGTCTGAACTGGAGTCTGCGTACGGACATGTGCTGTACTACACAGAGGTCCGATGGTTGAGCCGCGGCAGAGTTTTGAGGCGTTTTTACGAGCTGCTACCCGAAATTAACGCATTTCTTCATTCAAAAGGCAAAACGGTCCCAGAGCTGATCAACCCAGAATGGAAGTGGCACCTCGCATTTTTAACAGACGTGACGGAAATGCTGAACGGCCTTAAATTGCAGCTACAAGGCCAGGGGAAACTCATTTGCAACATGTATTCCCACATAAAAGCATTTGAGTTGAAACTAGCGCTGCTTTTGGAACAAGTGAAAAAGCACAACTTCACCCATCTCCCTGCTACCCAAAACCTTTCTGCAGAGAACCCAGCGGTCCTGTTACCAGCTGAAAAGTGTGTGGAAGCACTGGAAATGCTGAAGGTGGAGTTCAGTGTGCGATTCCGTCAACTACATGTTCATGCAAAAGAAATCCGTCTTTTCAAAAACCCCTTTGTTGCCGACATCGATGAAGCCCAGCCTTTTTATCAGTTTGAGCTGGCCAAACTTCTACCGCTCCACCATCAAGAGGCTTCTGACTTACTGCTGCACACTCTGGTTCAACTGCTGCACCGTGGAGGACAAGAGGAAACTGCAGCGGGTGGTGAGGGCAGCAGAGCGGGCAATTGGTACCTCACTAACCCCCCTCAGAGACATTTATACTGGCAGACTTAAGCAGAAAGCCAGCATCATCATTGTCAAGGATATCAACAATTATCAAACACTCAGGTGAAGAAACAACACTTAGACACTTGGAGAGAATTTTTAACGTGCACGGGTGAGAGCTCAACAGTAGACACTCACACCCAGCTGCAGGCGTTTTCTTTATTTAAAGCATAGATAGCAGTTCCTGTTTTTCATGTCCGTGTGTATGTGTGTGTGCAGCAAGTCAGTTTCTAAGAATAATAAAGATAATGCGAGTCAACTTCTGCGGATGTGTGGGTGCGGTGAAGCTCCTATCAGCTTCTGCAAATGTGTATTTCTGTGCTGATCTTGTGGCCTTATCACAAGGCTTGCAGTTTCATGTTTATCAAGCTGAGCTGCACAGTGAAAATATGAACATTATCAGTATTGAAGCAAAACATAAAAACATTTAAACATTATTTCTCT